TTCAATTTGCTAGTATTTTGTTGAGAATTTTTGCATCTATATTCATCAGTGATATTGGCCTGTAATTTTCTTTTTTTGTGTTGTCCTTGTCTGGTTTCAGTATCAGGGTAATGTTGGCTTCATAGAATGAGTTAGGAAGCTTCCCCTCCTCTTCAAATTTTTGGAAGAGTTTGAGAATGGTAGGCAGTAAGTCTTCTTTGAATGTTTTGTAGAATTCACTGGGGAAGCCATCTGGTCCTGCACTTTTATTTTTCGGGAGGTGCTTGGTTACTATTCCGATCTCCTTACTGGTGATTGGTCTATTGAAATTCTCTATTTCTTCTTGATTCAGTTTTGGAAGATTGAATGATTCTAAGAATTTATCCATTTCTCCCAGATTATGTAATTTGTTGGCCTATAGCTTTTTGTAGCATTCTCTTATGATCTTTTGTATTTCAGAGGTGTCCATTGTAATTTCTCCTCTTTCATTTCTGATTTTATTTATTTGAGCCTTCTCTCTTTTTGTCTTGGTGAGTCTAGCTAAAGGTTTGTAAATTTTATTTATCTTTTCAAAGAACTAGCTCTTGGTTTCATTGATTTTTTCTGCTTTTCCTTTTTAGCGTCCATTTCATTTATTTCTGGTCTGATTTTTATTATTTCCTTCCTTCTACTGGTTTTGGGCTTTATTTGTTTTTCTTTTTCCATTTCCTTTAGCTGCATGGTAGATTGTTTATTTGAGATTTTTCTTGTTTGTTGAGCTGGCCTGTATTGCTATAAACTTTCCTCTTAGTACTGCTTTTGCCTTATCTCATAAATTCTGGCATGTCGTATTTTCACTTGTCTCCAGGTATTTTTTGATTTCTCATTTGATTTCTTCATTCACATAATAGAAGTTCAGTAGCTTTTTGTTTAATCTCCACCTATTTGTGGATTTTCTGATTTTCTTCCTATAGTTGATTTCTAGTTTCATGCCACTGTGATCAGAAAAGATGCTTGGTATTATTTCAATCTTCTTAAATTTATGGAGACTTGTTTTGTGGCCTAATATGTGATCAATCCCGGAGAATGTTCCATGTGCATTTGAAAAGAATATGTATCCTCTTGTTTTTGGATGGAATGTTTTGTATATATCAACTAAGTCCATCTGGTCTAGTGTGTCGTTTAAAGCCAACATTTCCTTATTGATCTTCTGTTTGGATGACATAACCATTGGTGTAAGTGGAGTGTTAAAGTCGCCTACTATTATTGTGTTACTGTCTATTTCTGTTTTTATGTCTGTTAATAATTGCTTTATATATTTAGGTGCTCCTTTGTTGGGTGCATAGATACTTACAAGTGTTATATCCTCTTGCTGGATTGTTCCCGTGATCATTATGTGGTGCCCTGCTTTGTCTCTTGTTACAGTTTTTGTTTTAAAGTCTATTTTGTCTGATATAAGTATTGCTACCCCAGCTTTGTTTTGATTGCCATTTGCATGGCATATGTTTTTCCATCCCTTTGCTTTCAATTTTTCAGTGTCTTTAGGTCTAAAGGATGTCTCTTGAATGCAGTGTATATATGGGACTTGTTTTTTAATCCAATCAGCCATCCTATGCCTTTTGATTGGAGCATTTAGTCCATTGACGTTTACAGTAGCTATTGATAAGTATGTACTTATTGCCATTTTGTTACTTTTTTTCTGGGTGTTCTAGCAGTTTTTCTCTGTTTCTTTCTTCTTCTCTTGCTCTCTTCCATTGTGATTTGATGGCTTTCTTTAGTATTATGTTTGGGTTCCTTTCACTTAGTTTTTTGTGTATTTATTATAGGTTTCTGGTTTGTGATTATCATGAGGTTCATATATAATAACCTATGTATATAGTAATCTGTATTAAGTTGATGGTCTCTTTAGCTTGATCTCTTTCTAAAAGCTTTACTCTTTTACTCCCCTCCTCCCACATTTTATGTTTTTGATATCATATCTAGCGTCTTGTTTGTGCGTTTGTATCTGTTACCCTCTTATCATGGAAATAGATAATTATTTTCCTATTTGTGGTCTTCTCTTTTCCCCTTAAATAAGTCCCTTTATCATTTCTTGTAGGATTGGTTTCTTGGTGATAAACTCCTTTAATTTTTGCTTATCTGGATAAGCAATTTTTGCTTACCCTTCCATTCTGAATGATAACCTTGCCAGGTAGAGTATTCTTGGCTGCAGATTTTTTCCGTTTAGCACTTTAATTTTATCATGTCACTCCCTTCTAGCCTCTAAGGTATCTGCTAAGAAGTCAGCAAATAGCCTTATGAGGGTTTCCTTTGTGTGTAACTTGTTGTCTTTCTCTTGTGGCTTTTAGGATTCTCTCTTTATTTTTAATTCTGGACATTTTAATTATGATGTGTCTTGGTGTGAGCCTCTTTGAGTTTATCTTTTTTGATGCTCTCTGTGCTTCCTGTACCTGGATGTCTGTTTCCTTCCTTAGGTTAGGAAAGTTTTCAGCTATTATTTCTTCAAATAGATTCTCTGCCTCTTTGTCTCTCTCTTCTCCTTCTGGGACACCTATGACACGGGTGTTAGTGCACTTAATGTTTTCCCAGAGATCCCTTAGACTGTCCTTGTTCTGTTTAATTTGTTTTTCTTTTAGCTCTTCAGCTTGGGTGGTTTCCTGTAGTCTTTTGTCCAGCTTTCCCATTTATTCTTCTGTACTGTCTACTCTGGGGTTGAGACCTTCTAGTGATTTTTTCACTTCAAGTACTGTATTCTTCATTTCTGATTGGTTCTTTTTTATAATTTCCAATTCTTTGTTGACATTCTCAATGAGTTCATCCACTCTTCTCCCAAGATCCGTGAGCATCCTTATGACTATTTCTTTGAACTCTTTGTCAGGTAGATTGTTCATTTCTGTTTCACTTAGTTCTTTTTCTGGGGTTTTGTTCTGTTCTTGTCCTTGGAACATATTCCTTTACCTCCTTATTTTGCCTCTTTCTCTGTGCTTGTATCTATGAATTAGGTGGGTCAGTTACATCTCCTGATCTTGGAGAGGTGGCTTTATGTAAGTGATGCCTTATGAGGCCCAGAAGTGTGCTTCCCTCTTCTCACCAGTTCCAAATGTTACAGGAGTGACCCCCATGTGAGCTATATGTGTCCTTCTGTTGTGGCAGGGTTGCTCTTGCTGTCGGTGCCCAGGGAAGCTGGGCTGTCCCTCTCGCCAGCTGATTGTAATACTCAGCTGTGTGTGGCTGCTATGGACCCTTCAGTCACTTTATTGGGTGTGGGGAGCCCCAGCACAGCTGGCTGCAAGGTCTAATAGCACATTCCTGTTGTAGTTTTTCCATTAAGTGAGTAGGTCCCCAGTGTGGCTGGTTGTTAGCCTCAGGTGCTTAGAATGGCTGTAGGCCTCTGGCCTATAAGGCTCTTGTCAGCTCTCTCAGGATTGCAGGTTGGTAAGGCTGGCCCTGGGCAAGGGAGCACCCAATTGTTTCAGGCTTTGGAAGGTAGGGCCAATCCTTCATGTGGCTGTTTGAGAAGCACAAGACTTCTGCAGCTGACAAGCCCCACCATCCACGTGGCCACATACACTGTCAACACAGTCCTGCCCCGTATGCATGCCCCAACCCCCTGAAGTGGACCCTGTCACCCCACTGCAGAGGCCCTCCACACTCCACCAATGCCTCAGACCCTCCACCGCCTCCTCGCGCACACCCTGCCCCAGAGAGAGGTGGACTTACTCACCTGGCTGCAGAGAATGCAATCACCTAGCCTATGCAGGCCCACACATGGCCCAAGGGCTGGCTGTTGGGTGGGGCCAGTCCCTAGGGTAGGCTGCCTGCCCTGGCTGTGCTGGATTAAATCCTTGCTCTAGTGGGTGGGGCCGACCCTGGGCTAGCAGGCCATGAGGAAGGACATCAATGACATCTGCCAGCATTTGTGCCTGCACCAGGTCACAATAATGGCTGTTGCCAATGTCTTAGTCCCTGGAGAGGTCTCACCTCTCACTGAGATGCACCCAAAGCCTATCTGTTGAATCTCTTTTCACCAAAGGGCTGTGCACCTTTCTTTCTGGGGATTTTAGGTTGCTTCCCCAATGGGTGAATTTATGTGTGGGCCCTTTAAGAGCTGTTTTTCTTTCCCTTATGTCTGATAGCTTTTCTGTGGATATGGCTGGTTGTTGTTAATAGCCAGAAAGGCCAGATATTATGACACTTGTCTCAGTTGTGCTGGGTCCAAAAAATGTTTATAGCAGCAACACTCCCCTGCTCAGGTCCCCCACTCCTCCAGGGAAGGCTGCGTACCTTTGGATTGCTCCTGGGTGGCCGTGAGATGCTGCTGCTTGTGAAGGTGGCTTCTTTTCTCTCCAGAAGGGAAGTTCTGCCTCTTCCACCTCAGTCTGGACTGTTTTTTTGCAGGGGTTCCTCTTATCCAGTTTTCAGTTCTCTCTCAAGGGTAATTGTTCCAAGAGTAGTTGTAGATCTGCTGTGTCCGTGGGAGGAGGTGAGTTCAGTGTCTGCCTACGTCGCCCTCTTGACACCAACCTCACATTTTCTCTTTATGTTGGGTTTTAAGTAGTTTAATTATGATGTATCTGAGTGTGGTTTTCTTTCTGTTTATCCTGCTTGAGGTTCACTAAGCTTATTCTAAAAGGGAAAAATCCTAAACCCTTTTAACTTTCTAAATAAGTAATTTCTTTACTTATGGTTAAGAAAAGAACTCTGATTCTATACATCAAATCTGGACAATAACTGTCTCTTGCTCCTGCTGCAGGTACTTCTGAAGGGGATGGGAAGAAAGAGGTATTTCTTATACAGATCCACCTACCTGCCAGTTCTTAGGCAGCTGGTTTTACAGCTCAGAGTTGCTGAGTAATGGCAGGACCTTTAGGCCCAGAAAACAGTTCAGCCTTCTGGGAAAAGAGCCTCAGAGGGCACGCTGCCAACCTCTCAATATTACAGAGCTGTCTCCCTGAACAGGAGACCTGAAGGGAGGGGCTCCATCTCACTTCTGCTGACAGAAGTTCACACAGCTGGGTGCATGGGTTCTCTTAAAAACCTCAGCTCAGCAGTTTTTTGAGAAAACAGATCAAAGTACACTCTTCAAGCTCATTATACCCAGATGGTATATTTCATCTTCTGCAATAGTCTGCTGTCTCTTGTCTTTTCCTGGGGATGTCTGCAGAGATTGAATGAGAAGACAGCTTTGCAGGTGAGAACAAAGGAAAATCATTGCTCTGGGACCCCTCATCTCCTCTTGCTTCCCCACTGAAGTGGGATGAATCTAAATGCTACTGTTGGTTGTGCATACACATTTCTCAGCTCATTTGTGCTGAGAATTATGCCAGGGGAAAAAGAAGCTCTTCTATTTGAGAAACTTGCATCAGGCACCTATGGTGTATGGGACAGTATTCTAGCTCTCTGAGGAATTCTTGGCTGGATAAAGCTGGGCTTTTTTCTGCATTGATATATAAATGTGGAGAGTTTGGGGAGCTTGCCATTGGCAGAAGGGGAACAGAAGATGTAACAGCCTCTGGGAAGGAATGTGCTTGTTCTGGTCACATTTCTATAACACAATTTGCAGACATACTGTGTAAACATTATCTTATGTAACCCTCTAGGAACATTCTAAGGTAGTCAGATTTTTCTTTGGATACGTGATGACCAGGGATATTAAGTGTCCCACTTAAAGTGTCAAAGGGACAAAGTAGATTCAAGTAGAAAGACTACAATGCAGATGAGATTAATTGTTAATTTAAAACCATAAAAAGAAATGTAATTTTAAAAAAATCTCAGCTGTACTGTCATTTTCTACCTTTCCCTTGTTCATCTTAAGACTCTCCTGTATAGCAACACATATATCCTAACTTTCATTTTAATGGATTTTAAAGTAGTAAAATAATTACAGATCATTATTTATGTGAATTATCTTTATAGAGAGACACTGAGATTGTGTCTGGTACTTCCCCATAAGTTAATATTACTTTACAAAAATTTTTCGTAGAGTATTTTGAATTGTTTTCTATGAATAAATTCCAAGTACTACAAAGGCTACGTCAAAGGTTTCAAAGTGCACTTTAGAAGAATTTCCCCATTATCAGTGCTGGCAAACCACCAAAATGTGCCAGCCCCCTTGGGTCTCCTCGGTTTTTGTCAACTGCATTTATTGAACATCATTTGGGTTTTCAGCATGTCTAGGTGTGTGCACGTGCAGAATGTTGTCCCAAATGTATTTGGCAGTGTACAATTTAAATCCCCAGTAATCTGGCATCAAACTCAGCTTTGCTTCTTATTTTCATGTAACATTTTTGTGAGATGCCCATAGCTAAACTGTCGGATTAATCTGCAGAAATGACATACTTCTACTGTCTTGAGACCTTTCGAGACAGGGCACAGGTCCCTCTATTCTGGTCTGGGGCATTTTTCAAAGAAGGATCTGGTACAAATTCCCACACACAGCACATAGTAGGCCTTCAATGGGTACCTGTTGAATGAATGAATGAGTCTATGCCCTTGATAAGTGGAGTGACTAAATAGATGGTTATGTTAATATAAATACTTCATATAGTCAATCATTAAACAGACACTTATTGAGTCCTTATAGGGTATCAGAGAGTGTGGTAAATATCGAGAATAAAAGAATAAATAATTTGAATCCCTGCCCAGGATTCACAATCTAGAAGGTAAACTGTAATTCACTGTAACAAGTTTTGCAATTGAATATGTACATAATTCTAGGGGAGTGCAGAAAAGACAGTTATTTGTTCTTTTGGATTGAAGGAGCAGAGGGAATTGATAGGGGAAAAAACTGACACTTGAGTAAGACCTTGAAGAATAAAAGCTGAATTTTGAAACCTGTCATGAGATAGAGCATAAATACAATGAAGAAAGACCAGAGGTGTTAAATCAGATGCTGCGTTAAAGAAATATTCCGTGGTCTTGTGTGGAAGAAAAGGACAACAAAGGAAACTAATAAACTGTACTTTGATGGTAAAAACAAAAACTTCAATACAGGACGTACATGAATCCTACTAGTCCCAGATCCTGCCCCCAGCAGTTACAATTAAGGTACAACTCCTGATATTACACCACTCGCAAAAGTTAACTCGAGATGAATGAAAGACTTAAATGTAAGACCTGAAACCATAAACCTCCTATAAGAAAATAGGGAAAAACTCCTTGATATTAGTCTTGGCAATGATTTTTGGATATGACACCAAAGGCACAGGCAATGAAAGCAAAAATCAGCAAGTGGGATTCTATCAAACTAAAAGTCTTCTGCACAGCAAAGGAAACTATCAACAAAATAAAGAGGGAACCTAGGGAATGGGAGAAAATATTTGCAAACGTTATATCCGATAAGGGGTTAATATCCAAAATTTATAAGGAATCCATACAACTCAAGAGCGTATAATCCGAGGACCTGAAAAGACATTTCCAAAGAAGACATACACATGGCCAACAGGTACATGAAAAGGTGCTCAGCATCACTAATCACCAGGGAAATACAAATCAAAATCACAATGATAACTAACCACAGTGTTAACTAGACTTATTGTGGTGATCATTTCACAGTATATACAAATATCAAATCATTATGTGGAACACCTTAAACTAATATAATGCTGTCTGTCAATTATAGCTCAATTGAAAATAATAAATAAAAAGCTCAAGGAACCAAAAATAAATAAAGATGTAAATGTAATCATAAATAGAGGAAAAATTGTTGAAAGGCTACCGGTGAAGTTAGGCAGATTAATTTTGAAAAATAGTATTTATTTGGATAAAAATTAAAAATTAGTATCCCAAGCTCAATGAAATTGCTTTTAGCAATTCCTCAAGCCTACCTTTCCTGCCAGTAAGCCTGTGTGAGAATGCTCTCTATCATGAGTTTTGTTTAACAAATATAGAGGCAGAGTCAAGATGG